AGCAAAAAGTCAAACAATGTGTTGATCATGCATATCCCCTCAATTAATATACATGAATCTCATGAATGCAATCACTATAAATCTCTCTCTGATTTAAATGAAACTCTTTACTAATTGCAATGACGATTCAGGCGAATTTTTTATCTCATTATTTCAATAATTTCATTTAACTCCATATCAGGAAATTAAACCTACGCCGGAGTCAAAATTGACTAGCATTATACAGGAGTGTTACTAGAATTACCATAATTTCGCCATAATGCTGGTCCATTTTGATCCCCGCGTAGGTTTACGTAAAATTAAATTTCCTGATACATGCAGGTGAAAGTAGTTGTGGAGTGAAAACACTTGGAATCGAAAAGTCGAGTCAAAGGCCATTTACTATATCTAAATCTATTTTAACTGTCATTTCTTCCACCACTCCTTTTGCATCTTGATCCACAATCATCTCATATACAACAATTCGTCCAATTCATCTTGAAAATGACACTGGTAGAAAACATGTAATTCACAAAGATTTTACATGGTGGAAGCATTGAGCATAACAACTGTTTTTACGATAACTTACATAATATTTCACTAATATTGTAAAACAGTTGCAAAGCCGTTGTAAAAAACGGTCGTTGTGCTCAATGCTTCCACCATGCGAAACCTTTATGGATTACATTTTTTCTACCCATATGATGGCTAAACACAATATTTATTTGTTCATTAACATTTAAAAGTAGTGATGGTTATATATGAACAAAATATATGGGAAAATAATTGACCTCAAGAAAAAGTATCTGGTGTTACAACTTTTTCCCAATTAATTATTTGTTTTTAGACTGGATCCGTAATTGCTATTATTTGGTTTGCAAGTGAATCCGTAATTAATTTAATTAATTGTTTTTTATGTCTCAGTTTGGCAATTAATTTTTTGTTTTACAACTAAGGTCCGTAATTAATTATTGTTTTTCAACTAAATCCATAATCATTTATTTATTTTGCAGCCGAATACATAATTAATTACTTGTCTACGACTGAATTTGTAATTACGATTCAAGCTTAGATAAATAAATTCACCTTCTGGTTTTTTTTTTGAGAGTGGGTGGGAGTATTCACAATATCAAGTAAATTTGGAGACGGGATATAATCTTCAAATATCTTTATTAATTTCAAAAATTTTCATTTTTTTGTTGAAATTTAATTAATTTGATATTTGTTGAGTTAAAACAAAAATACTAATAATGATATTGCGTCCATCCAAATCGAACAAATTAAGAATATTTCGTAACCACCAATCTCTCATTCAGATGTTGTCAACAAGAAAAAATCCCAGAAGGGAAGAAAATAGTTGTTGTGTCTGATTATATCTATTGACATTTTGCTATTCCATATACCTTTGATATATATTATTATGACATCCGAATCAATCGATACTTTTGCAGTTAATCGGGAAACTTGTGTAAAGTGGACGCCACCTTTATATATTCGTAATTAGTTCTCTCATTTGTTCCATAATGTTTATGTTTATTTGTGCGCTACAGTAAATATATCCTCGAACATTCTTGAGTATTTTCATTGGTTCGGGTTATCTTGGGCGAAAGGTGGATTCCAAACTCCAAAGATTGCCAGCTTTCATTACACACACTATGATTAAAACTGTGAGCACTCAACACAATTGAGCTATTCGAGTTAGTTTATTTTTTGTGAAAGATGACTCTTACTATTACTCCTTTTTAACATAAGATAGTCCTAATCAAAAATAAATAAATAAATAATTTGTTAGTGATGTCAACCGGCAGAGAAAAAAAATGGTTTAACCGGCTGATAAATGTAATTTTTTTTATACAATGATAAAAAAATGATATTCTCTACTTAGAATTACGAAGAGGAAAAAATCTACCATTAATTTGCCCCACCCCCAAAACCATAATACTCGTAGCAGAATAAAAGATAATAGTAGTAATAGTAATGGTGAACCATTAAATAATAATAATGGCGGTGAATTAAGGGTATATCATTGAATAATAATAATATTATTATTAGCAGTAGTAATAGTGGAAGTGATAATGATAAGAATAGTAGTAATGATAATAATAATAGTAATGGTAATAATAGTGAACCACTAGGTAATTGTAACATCAACAAATATCATCAAATGCTTGGCCCAAAATAACGTGTCATTTATCAAAAAAAAATTATAATTTTCATTTATCACTTCGCTTGATGTTGAATAAATCACTCCATTCTCATCTGTATTTACAACTATTCGGATAACAATTTCTTTTTCATCTTCAATTCTCATATTAATTCTTAATTGGATAACATGGTTTTTTGTATTTCTTTCTTTGTTAATAAAATTCCACCAATAAATGTCAAATGGGCCATAATGGACAGTTTGATTGATTTTACCAATTACTAAAGTTGTATTTTAAATTTTTGTGTAGGATTAATAAACGTGGACACTGAGATTCAGTTTTATAAAATGATTGACAGACATCTCCAGAAAAAACTAACAACACACTCCAAGGCTATTCATTGCCTCAAGTAAACTTGGTTTAATGTAATAATTTTCCAACACTGATTAAGTAGCATGTTATTCGGATTTATTGTTATTAAAGTAGGTTTGTAGAGGCTTTGTGGACAAAAAGAATATTCATTTAGTAGTAGTATTTAATAGTCTAATAGTTAGCTTTTATTTAGTTTTCAGTTTTTAGTTTTTAGTTTTTATTAGATTACATACTCTTTTTTTTTTCGTTGCATCGTTGAGATGGCTCTTCCGGAAACAATGAGTGAGATTGGTAGTTAGTTTAAATTCACACTAAATGGGAATCCTCATATAAGAGGTGTTCGGATTTCATTCCATACTAATACGTGAATATGTTCGTGGAGGTCGCCTACCTTATATTCTACCCTGATGACAAACTCACTTTTTTGGTCCGCGATCACATATCACTATGTTAAGAGGAATCAATATTGAACGGGTGTAAGGTTATGTAAATTGTCTCAAGAGACCTTGGGGATACAGTTTTTTTATGTTTGTATTCTCCATGAACAAGTTTCTTTCTACTTCAATATTATTACTTCTTACAAAATTCTTCGTATTCATAAAAACATACTATGTTAAATTGTAATAACAGTGTAAATAATCACAATACGCATCAAAAAGTCATTGTTGAAATAACTCGACTATCACTTTCAACTTTAGTTATGATTTTCGTAAATTATCCTAAATTTAGTAATGATTCTCGAGATGTACCAAAAAAAAAATGGAACTCTACATTAAAGCTGGTGGGAGAGCTTACTCTATCAACTAATAGAACTAATAGAACTATTTTTTAAAAGGTAGGTCGGAAAGTGATCTCTATACTTTTAAAATTTGTGCAAAACTTGATAGGCCTTTAGACCGCACTCACTATAGTACAATTCGACAAAATTTTTTGTAAATCAAAAAATCCAAGACTTCTCTAAAAAAATAAATTAACAATGGCGGAAGGAGGACATGTACATTCTGTACTTTTTGAGGGAACAGACGTCAATGTTTATGGCTCACCAGAAAATTTACAATTTTACCCTACTCCTTATGAGGATCCTGATGGTGTATATTCAGCACAGTCAAATTCCCTTTTCTATCCACCACCAATGCAACAAACTTTTTCACATCATCATAATTATCAATTTGGAGGTAGCACTGGAAGCCTTTTGAGTGCGTTTGGTACAGGCGGATTTGCTGACGAACCACCTTTGCTTGATGGTAAATAAAAATGTATAACTAAAAAGCGAATATTCAGAGAATAAAATTAAACTAATCAACTATTATTTATTATATTATAGAGCTTGGAATTAATTTTGATCATATAAAGACCAAGGTACAAATTAAATATATATTATAAAATGAAAGAGATATACATGATAGTGAAAGTGAAAATATAATTTATATTCGTTTGTTAGAGCTTGGCAGTATTAAATCCATTTAAAACAGTGAACAAACACATAATGGATGATGCGGATTTATTTGGGCCACTTTTATTCTGTTTAATATTTGGCATTTCTTTGTTACTGGTATGATTATAAAAAAATTATGTTTACAAAAAATCTATACGCAAATCTTACACAGATTAATCGATCTATTTGTGTAGACAGGAAAAGTACATTTTGGATATATTTATGGAGTGGCATTACTTGGATGGGCTTCTATTTATTTGATATTGAATTCCATGAGTGAGTCAAGCGTAGATGGATATTGTATAGCAAGTGTACTTGGGTATTGTTTATTACCACTAGTACTATTAAGTTGTATTGGTATCGGCATACCTTTAAGGTATTTATTTATTTTCTTCTTTCTTTTGATCTACATAATAAGTTACTAATTATTTTTATTATGATTATTATTTAGCGAACCATTTGGATTCATTATTTCAGCCATTTCAATAATCTGGAGCACATATTCATCTTCAACAATATTTGTAACAGTATTACAAATGAAAGAACAACATTTATTAATTGCTTATCCTATCGCATTACTATATGTTTGTTTTGCTCTTATGACAATTTTTTAATGTTTATTTTTTTTTTTTTTTTTTTTTTTTGTATATATTTTACATTGTATTTTAATTTAATTTTTTTTTTCGGATTATTTCCTTGTTTATAATTATTATTTAAATATATATTATATTTTCTTTCCCAGTTGGAAATATCAATAAAACTTGTTTCTAAAAAAAATATCAATTTATAATCTTAATTAAAATTAAATAAAAAAATATAAAATATTTTCGATAAAAAAAAAAATATTTAAAAAGAAGTAAAAATAATGATAAACTAAAAAAAAGAGAAAAATAGTAATAGTAATAATAATATATAAAGACTATATACACCAATATATATATATATATATAAATATATATATATTTCTAAAAAATTAACTAATAATAAATTCCACTATAATAAAAATAATAATTTTTCCTATACAAAAAAAAAAAAAATAATACTTGCATAAATATATATAAAAATTTAAATTATTTTTCTTCTAATTTAATTAAGGCTGCGTCAACTTCTTCTTCTGGTACAACCGGTCCATGACCTGAACATCTAGCTTTAGATTTTAATTCAGCACATAATTGATCAATCTCTTCATCTTCCAATTCATCAAACATGGGATGTTGTTGAATCTTTTCCCAAACTTTATTACATGATAAAAAACTTTTATTTTGAAGATCATCAAATGTTGCGAATCCGTTATTGTGAACAATATCTCCCATAAATGGATTTACACGTTCTTCAGATGGAGTTGACATCGGTGCAAAACTTCCAAGATTTATAAAATGTTCTTCAAATAATGGTGCTAAAGGGGTGGCACCAGCAAACAGGTTGTCGATATTTGGTGTGAATGGTGTAGGGTCACGGTACTCGGTGAATGCTGAAGTTGATTTGTTAGAGTTATCATTAACAATTGAACTCTGACCATCTTCCAAACAAATACCATCAGTAAATTTAGCACAAAATTCTTTGGCTGATTGATTTTTGACGGTGTGTGTTTGCGTGGTAGATGAGTTGTCAATATTATTATTATTATTATTATTATTATTATTATTATTACTACCATTGCTATTATTATTATAATTACTAATAGCGGAGTTATTATTGTTATTATTATTTGAGTTAGTAAGGTTGTTACTGGTACAGTTAATACTGTTATTAGTGATATCAGTAATTGTCTTTGATCCTTTAATTGGTAATTCGGATGGTGTTTCTGATAATCCCATATTGACTACTATTCCCGTAGATGAAGAAGAACTAATCGGTAATTGATTATTATTGTTGCTATTGATGTTGCTGTTGCTGTTGTTACTGTTGCTGTTATTGTTATTTTCTTTGCTAGAATTTAATTTGAGAGAAATCTCTGTTTCAGAAGAATTGATCGAGGAAGGTGATGATAAACCAAATACTTTTGCTGGTGAATTTTTTGAGCCATTAGCTGATCTATTACTGGAAGTATTTGATTCATTGTCGCTTTCATTTGAAGAAGGTGGTGTGAATGGATCCTCAGAATTTGTAAGCCCACCACTATTATTACCAGTAGTGGAGGTGGATGTATCATCATTAGCAGGGGTGGAGAACGTAAATAAAGTACTCTTATTATCATTATTATTGCCGCTAACATTATTATTATTATTGATACCATTTGCGCTGCCATTACCATCACCACTAGAAGTTAAGTCTGATGATTCATCACCTTTATTAAGCGTAAAGTCGAAAGTGAAATTTGATTGTTTCAAAATGAAATTTTCAGCTTGCAATTGTTGAACAAGTGATTTTAATTGCTCGTTTTCATGATTGCTTTTTGCTGACACCGATTCAAGTTCTTTAATCTTATCTTCGAGTTCTTGAACGTAACGTTCTTTTCTTTCACGAAACGCTCGTTGAGCTGCTCGATTTTGAGCTTTACGTTTCTATTATTATTGTTATGAATTTTTCAAGAAATATTATAATCAACCAATTGATTAATTACATAATTATGATATTGAATGAATATATTGATGAGACATACAGAATTAGGGGTAGTAGTCAATGGCTTTCTTCCGGCCTTTTTTTTTTTCAGTGGTTCATTTAAAAGTTCTGCCTGTAAATCTTCGAAAGATGATTGAGTTCCAAGTTCTATCATTTCTTTTTTTTATTTATTTAAATAAATTTATATTATTAGCACTAAATGATGATATTAATAATGATAATGTTATTAGTATTATGAAATATTACCATCAAGAGTAAGTTCTGGATGTGGTACTGAATCTATATTTAAATTATCTGTTTAAATGGATTTTTTTATTACATGAATATATTTTTAATATATAATATATATAATTATAATATATAATATATAATATATAATATATAATATATAATAACAACTTCCAATAACATTGATAAAATTACTTACGAATAGCTTTGCTTGGTAGTTGTTGAATAATATCTCCCAAAGTTTCTAATTTACGTTTTTGGTCGTCGTCATCTCTATATTGATCGTTGGAAACGATTGCATCAATTAAAAATTTTTGAGCTTCGGGATTATCTTCAAGAGAAGTAAAATCCCAAGCAGCAAGATCACTTAAACTAATGATAGGATTTGAACTGTCTATGTTTGTTGAAGTTGGAAAAAATGGATCCATGTTTAATCTTTTATTAAAGTAAAAAAATAAATTTATTCTATAATATTCCAAGAGTAAACAATTGCGGCAGAATTTTTGTTTTTATATATATTACATTCCCAATCCCACCCAATCAGTGTGTATAAAATTCAGTATGCGAAATTGTCGTGCCAACCTAATTTGGTAAATATTTGCAAAAACCCACAGATCATTGCCAAATTTAATTAGCAAGTACCAATCATGCATGTTAATTTCAATCAAATAATTGGTTAGAATCTACTAGAGTTATTGTTACACTAGCATAAATTATTGTCACAAACTTTAAAGTGAAAGCCCCCAATAGGTGCATCAATAATTAATTATAGAAAAGTCATGATTTTTTTTGAGTGAGAGCCCAGAACATGAATTATTTGAGCAGCTACTAAAATAGTCATTACTGGAATTAATACTGCAGGTGAAGATGATAATAGTTTATAGATTATTTGATTTTAATTCATAAATTATTATTCAAGAATAAATAAATCAATGAAATCAATGAAAACCTCTAGAAAAATAAATGACGATACAAATATAACAAACTTGCAATTCGTGTCACGTCAAATCCATTGAGATTACCATATCATGAGTATTTTTTAAGCCATTGTATTTCTTTCACATGTTACAAACATCATTCTTTTCGTGATACGCCATTAAAAGAAAAAGAAATATATTTTGTGCATTATTTAACGCAACGATTCTATCATTATGGCCATTTACCCCAAGTAGCCTTGTATATTGTTGCAGGTTCACAATCATCATATATTTTAAGTCGTCACACAAAACCCCATTGAAAATATTCATTGTTATGGCATGCCATGCTGGACCATATTTTGTTGTAAAAAGTTGCAACATTTTGTTGTAATTAGTTGCAACATTTTGTTGTAATTAATTGAAACGTTTTGTTGTAATTAATTGAAACGTTTTGTTGTAATTAATTGAAACGTTTTGTTGTAATTAATTGAAACGTTTTGTTGTAATTAATTACAAAATTGAATGCATAGCATAGTGGAAGTTTGTTGTTACACGAAATGTCGTACAGAACTCATTGCTACTGAAACTTTACCAGTATATAGTTGTTACCTCTCTAAATTGGAGATCAAGTTCAGATCCAATTCAAATCCAGTTTATCACTTACTTTTTATTGCCAGAATGTTTGCCGTGTATTGTAAAGCTACGTTGCACAATATAAAAAATTAGTGTGACATTTCAAATTTCCACTATGCTGTTATGAATATTTATAATATTTATCCAGCATGGCGTGCCATAGTATTTTATATCAATCAAAAATTTCATTACTACCATAATCATAAATCACATGATTGATATTGGTATCATCTTTACAAGTTTAATATATTAATACTTATTATGAATCAAATTGAAAATCAATGTGATTGATGTTTATCACCATTATCATTTAAAAATTTTATATATATAAAAAAAAAATGCCAAATTTACAAAAATTAGTACAAAAAGGTTCGATTTCGTCATTAAAAACTTATTTTTCGTTAATTTCATTAGAAGAGTTATTAATAATAAATAAACCTGACAAGCATGGTGATACACTTGTACATATTGCTGCAAGATTTCACCAATTTGAAGTATTGAAATATTTGGTTGAAGAGTTGAATGGAAATTGTAATGTAATTAATAAACATGGTATTATATCAATAATAAACACGTTTTGATTTTAAAATAAATTAAATAATCAGTCGATTGATTTTAGGCAGACAACCACTTCACGAAGCAATTGATAATTTAGAATGTGTCAGATTTATTTGTCAACAAAAAAATGTAAATGTTGATTGTATGAAAAGAGGTGATTGGACTCCATTGATGATTGCAGGCGTGTAAACATTATAAATTCTTTATTCTCCTATTTCTCATCCTCTTCCAAAAACATTTAATAATTAATAATTAATTAATAATAAAGCGATGAAAGGTAGATTAGATATTGTAAAAGAACTTGTTAGTCATGAAGCAAATGTAAAACATTTAAATAAAGATGGATGGACTAGTTTGCATCTAGCAATAAAAGAAACACATCTAGAAGTTGTAAAGTATCTTTATCAAATTTCACCCGATACATTAATGATTCCAAGCAAATCAGGAATATATCCAATACATACTGCTGCATCATCATCATCATCGTCATCATCATCGATTGTTTTCTATTTGCTATCAGCAGTTAACCCAGAAATAAAAAAACAATTATTAAAAATTACCGACAACAGTGGAGTCAATCTATTACAAAGTTCGATAATCTCAGGTGATGTAAATTTAATTAAAAAATTAATTTATGAAGAATATAATTATGATGTTGATGATAAATCTAAAAAAGGAAAAGAAAAATATAAATTTCTTTATCATAAAGATAAAATTGGTAGACAAGCAATTCATTATGCTACAATGGTTGGTAATTTGGAAGTTTTGAAATTGTTGATTGAATGTGGAATTGATGTGAATGTGGTGGATGATTGGGATAATTGGACTTGTCTTCATTATGCGTGCAAAGAAAGCTATATTGATATAGTTGACTATTTGATATATAATTGTAAAGCAAACATTAATATTAAAGATAAGCATGGGAGAACTCCAAAAGATGTTGGTAAGTCGTATTAATTATCATTATTGTTATTATTGTTATTTGTTATTGTTATTATTCAATAATTAATTAATTTAAAATTTTAATTTATAGCAATTTTATGGAATCAAGTTAAAATTATTAAATTATTCAAATAAACAGTCATTTATATGCGCCATGATTTATCTTGTTAACTTATGCCTAGATATCCATGAACATTTGATTCCCAAAATCACAATCTGAATTTGATACAAAGTGTCAAATCTATTTCTACTTCCACGTATGGTTTTAACTAATTTTGATTTTGACTTTGGAATCGCGTTCCCATTTTCTCGTTAGAGCCTCGCATATTCCAGATATGTATGATAATTTCTGTAGAAAAATAATTGCTATTAATTATAAGGAAGTTTGTAATGTATTACAAATAAATTTAATGAATAACCTGAATTAATTGCTTTCCTTTTATTTGCATCTCTCTTCTCTTCTGATCGATGATAACGATAATTTAATAACCGGGAAGCAAGAATAAATTTTTTTTGGTATCTTTGTGACCTGGAAATATTTCTCGATCGATTACTTTTTCAAAATCTTAAAATTAATTAATTTAAAATAAACATGACTTTAATTTCATTTGTTGTTATCATTATTAACAAACAAATCCAAATCCAAATCCAAATCGAATAAATGTTAACTAGCTGGTGATGCCCTGGCCGAGGCCAACCGGGAGTTGTCACACAGCATAAAATATTTAAGAGAGTTTCTCTGCCATTGATAATTTTATCATCTAAATCATAGTAAATATGCCTAATTGTTTTCCTTTTTTAATAGTTGTTCTGTCAGAGTAAGAATCAGATTCTTTGTGAAATCATTGCTAATCATTTAAAATATTTGGAACATAGCATACAACCAAAAATTAGTACATATTTTATAAATACAAGAATTTCTTGTCAAAAAAAAAAGTTATTCTTTCAGGAAATTCTGTTGTATTGATCCAATATTTTTATTATTAGATGTGGATGGTGGTGACGGTCATATTTAAGTTGAGAATTCTTTCATTTTAGATTTTCCTTTATCGACTTTATTGGTTTCGATTTTTCAACCCAAGACAAGTTTTTTTTGCATAGAGTTCCTTTCGTGCAACTATTAAAAAAAAAAAATCTTAGTTTGAGATCCTAAAGCCCAAAGAAAAATATTAAGGATATGTATAACGACAAGGACCTTAATAAGTCTTGAAAAACTAGAAACAAAAAGTCTGCCATTGGCTCTCAACCACATATAAATTATATCGTAAATATTTATTAAAAGGATAAAAAAATTCCATGATCTTTTACACAATATCTATCCGTGTACTACTTTTCATTATTATTATATTTATGAGCGTGGACTCTTCACTTTTATCATTGAACATGATCACAATATAATAAATACTATCACAATTAAAAAATGATAATAACTTTGCTAGGTATTAATAATGAATGTATTCATTTTTTTTTTTTTTTTTTTTTGTTATATATATCAGTAGCTTGATTGTTGTACAATAAAAAACCAAAATCTTTGACCTGTCAAAAAATATATTTATTGAAATTTAGTAAATTCTGATTTACAATATAAAATTATAAAAATGCTCAAGTTAAGTTTGATACCGCATAACTAGGTCGATAATGCATCTGTACCTTTTTTGGTAAAATATGACAGCATTTTGAAATCAACATGGGACAAAAACAAAAGTATAAATTTATTTTTCTTGTAATTAGTAATAAAGCCTTGATAATGCTTCCCAAGCCATAGATTCCATGATTTTGGCTAATGGTCATTTGGAAAAGTTAACTTGGAGAAATGAGTGGGTCAGTCAATTGCACAAAATGATTTTGATTTCGGTTGAAAATATTTGCTATCTTAAAGTTTTCGAATTCATAAAGTATTCAGTGATCTGATACAGAAATATCTTCAAACAAAGTTCCTCGAAGATCATTTTCCTTCATTAACAATCAAAAAGTATTTAATTGGTCTTTTCTTTTTTTCGTATACCTTTACGAGTTCAAGATTGACATATGGAAATTGACATACTTAAATCGCAGATTGTGAAATTAACTAATATTAATATTGATATTAAGATTAATTAATATTAGGATTATTAGATTAGTATTAATGATCAGATCTCTTTATTAATATTATGACAATTGTCATTCTTCTCATCGGTAATCTCTTTTTTTTTATTTTTAGTAAAAATTTCCTTATAGGGAGGTTGTTCTTGGATGAAACATTTTTTTATAAGCTTAATAGAATTTGTTCCAAAATATAAAGAGATTTACATGATATTCTTATATGGAGGTATGGCTATAATTATTTTGTTTAAAAAAGAATCCAAGAAAACTCTTGTTTATAATTATAATCATTATCA